TACTGACAGATGCCAGTTAAACATGGGCTAAGCTTTTCTGCCAAAATTCTGGGTGTATCCAAGTCAGCCATGGTCTCTGGAGCTCCTGATGAGCTAACAGTGAATGAAGACCCCTTCTCTCCTACTATGATGGAGGCAGTGTGATACAGTGGCTAAGAGGCCCAAATCACAGTCGTTTGAAGCTCAGTTCTTTCACTCAGTAGCAGTGTGACTTAGCCAAATGATTTCCCTGGACTCAGCTTCCTCATTTGTAAAATAGATATGCTATCAGGACCTACCTCATTGGGTTGTGTGGCACCTCATCCTCTGGCCCCAGAGCCCAGCTGCTGGGCTTCTACCCACTTTCACAGCTTTCCAAGAAAAGCTCTTTCAGCTCTGCCATCGCCTGGGCTGGAATTCTGATCGGAGAGACCAGGCTTCTGTTGGTTCCATAACCAGCTTCCTGCCTATACGTTGCTGGTTACTTATATGCCCCTCCAGGCTCTCTTCCCTTAGGGCAATTTATCTTCTAAGAGGCTGCGGGGTCATTTATGCGGATTGACCCATCAGCCCCCACACCCTCCTGCAGACCAGTCGGACTCTGAGACCCCTCAGCTGGAAGCTCTACTCTGTCAGCAGAGGCTGACCAATCTCCTGAGCCCTGGCCCATGGACTCCGCAATGGCATATGTTTTGGGAGACTTGGGATTTAGCCCTCAAACACTTCACCAGAGTTTTTCAAAGGCCATGCCCTGAGGTAGATTCTAGATAAGTGCCTTTATGGAGGGACTGTGGTGTAGTGACAAAGAACATGAGCCCTGGAGGCCTAGCTGGAGTCACAGCCTGCTACTTCCTGAGTGACACCTGGGCCAATTGCCCCTTGCCTTGATTTTCCCATCTCTGAAGTGGGTGTGTCCCATATGGTTCTTATATAATTAAACTGGAAAATGTATAAGTGGCCTGGTAGCAGGTTCTCAATGTATCGTGGTTCCCACTTCTGCTGCCACTCCATCTACCTCATATCATCCTCCTCATCAGAAAAGTCAACACATTGGCATTGTGCCCAATCCCACCCTGGACCTGCCATCCTGTTGTTTTCTTCCAGACTCCTGCTCAGCATTGGCCGACTGGGCTCTTACATTGCCAGTGCTTAGAGCCGCCCCTTACGAGACAGACTGACATGACCAGCCTAGAAGCAGGCTTCTGGCTTCCTTTTTCCCTCCCTCCTGAGGAGCATGTTTCTAAAAGATGAAAGGGTAGAGAGAAGAGGGAAGAAGAAGCAGTTAAGGACCTAACTGCACCCCAAACACATGCCTGGGGTGAGCAGCTTTGTAGCATTGATTCCTAATGATGTCAACCCCAGCATGAAGCTGCAAGTCAGGCACTGGGTCAGGGCATGGGCTGGACTGTCCCTGCATGTCCCAGGCACCCACCTTCCCGTCTCACCATCCAGAGAGAAGGAAGAGCAGTGAGCCTAAGAGAGCTGCTTATTTGGTGCCAACAGTGTGCCAGGCATTTCCTCATTCTGCGTGTGACCCTCACAACCACCTGATGGAGGCGTATCACTTCCCACCAGAGAGGTTAAGCAACTTGCTGGGCTGTACACAGAGGAGTGGCAGAGCTGGGATTTGAATCCCTTCCCCTGCCTCTTACCTAACTTTGAGCACTGGTTCTCCATATTTTCCACCTGCAGGTCCCTTTGGGGTCTTCCCTGTCCACCTACTTCTAAAAGAGAATTTCCTTCTCTCTCTCTCTTTTTTTTTTTTTTTTTTTTTTTTTTTTTTTTTTTTTTTTCAGTTTCTTGGGCATATTTTCCTGCTGTGGGGAATGGATGGAGACAGGAGGGTCAGGCTCTGAGCTAGGCATGGTAAGATGCAGGGGAGAGTAAGGAAGCGACCCCCCACTACTCTCTGTTCAACCCCTGCATCTGCTTGCTGTCCAGATATTAAGCGTAGTGGGTTGTACTCTGGTTAGGTTGACCTGCTAAGGCCTCAGGACTCTGACAACATGGAAGTTTCTTTTCCTCTGAAAACCCCTATAAGAAATAGTGGCCACTTGGAATCTTGTCTCAAGAAGGATTTAGAGGCTACATCTACACTTAGTGCATGAGAGCTCTGCAGTTGATTAACCATGTCTGCCATGGACATGGAATGGAAAGGGGAATATTTGCCATTTCTACCCTTAGCTGAGACCTCATCTCCATAGTTGACTCCCCTAAGGGGGATGAATGGCCCTCTTGTCAATCTTTTGAGGAAGTGGCCTCACTTTCTTGGCTTTGGACTTTAGGTCGAAGTGTCATGTTAAAAGGTACAGCTGGATGACAAAGAAGTGATAGACTCTGCAGGCCTGGTTTCAACTGGGCAGTGAAGGATTGGGAATGGGGAAGACAGTCTCCTTCCCTCACTAGGGGCTTCCTGGACAGAGTAGAGGGACAGTAAATTCCAGCAGGAGTTGATGTTTCAGTCTTGAGTGTGAGAGCAGAATTCCTTCTTCAACGTCTTTTCTCGTAAGGCCTTCAGCTGATTAGATGAGGCTCGCCACCCACATTTTGGAAGATAGTCTGCTTTTCTCAGAACTTACTGATTTAAATGTTGAAGGTTAATGTGAAAAATACCTTCACTGCAACCTACAGATTACTGTTTAATCCAACAACTGGGTACCATAGGCTCACCCAGTTGACACATAAAATTAATCATCACAAATATATTAGTTGAGTGTTTCCCAAAGTGTGCAACACATGCTACTGGATGAGTGGAACAGAGAAGTACATTCAATAACATGGGTCATGGAGTGATCCTTTTAAATTCTATTTTATTCAGTCATAGGTGGAATTTAAGAAACAAAACAGATGAACATATGGGCAGGAAAAAAAAAAAGGAGAGAGAGAGAAGCAACCCCTAAGAGATATTTTTTTCCCATGAGAGACTCTTAATGATAGAGAACAAACTAAGGGTTGATGGAGGGAGGTGGGTGGGGGATGGGCTAGATGGGGGATGGGTATTAAGGAGGGCACTTGTGAGGAGCACCAGGTGTTGTATGTAATTGATGAATCACTGAATTCTACTCCTGAAACCAATATTACACTATATGTTAACTAACTAGAATTTAAATAAAAATTTGGAGGAAAAAATGAAAAATTCTATTTTAATTCTCCTTGCTTCAAGAAGAAAGGCTCTATTTGGTATGAACCCCTAATACTTCTCTAACACTTGTTGTTTATAACAAAAAAAAAAAAAAAACAGTATGAGAATTCAGCTATAAATTAATTATATGGTTTTGTTTTCGTTGAATTAACTTTTATAGTTATCTTGTGTTTATGGCAAGTGATACTGATCATCCATTTATAAGTGACAGAACATTTCCTTCAGACCCATACTTAAAAAAACTAAATGAATCCATTTAAAATTAAGTAAATGATCGCACAGATGATGCTTGGATGTAGTTGCACTTGAGAAGGTGGTATAAAATGGCCCAAGTTTGGGGAACACCATCTCAGCCTAGAAAAGACAGGAATTTCAGACCCAGCCAGCCTCCCCACAGGAAGATCCTCCCTATGCGGCCAGCCTGGGGGCATGCAGATTGGTCTGATGAAGGAGAAGGCTCCTTCCCTTTGGAGAAAGCAGGGGAAAGACTAGAGTGTTCCCAGGACTTGCTGGTGCTGAGAAGAGTAAGACAAAGCCCCCGCCCTCAAGGAGCATGGTTCAGTGCGTGGATTCTGGAGCCAGACTACCTGAGTTCAAATCCTGGCTCTGCCACGTATGGCTGCCGTGTACCCTTGAAAAGTTGTTTGACCTCTTTGGGCCTCTGTTTCCTCATCTGTAAAATGGGTATATGAAGGTACCCACTTTAGGGTGCTGTGAGGATTAATTGAAGTACAATATAGTAAGTGTCATTTAAGACTGAGTTTCTATCATTGGGAAAGACTGACAAAGAAATGGCAATCCTAACACAGTGCTCTAAATGCTGTGATAAGAAGGTATAGTGTTGGGGCACCTGGGTGGCGCAGTCGGTTAAGCGTCTGACTTCAGCCAGGTCACGATCTCGCGGTCCGTGAGTTCGAGCCCCGCGTCAGGCTCTGGGCTGATGGCTCGGAGCCTGGAGTCTGTTTCCGATTCTGTGTCTCCCCCTCTCTCTCTGCCCCTCCCCCGTTCATGCTCTGTCTCTCTCTGTCCAAGAAAGGAAGGAAGAAAGGAAGAAAGAAAGAAAAGAAAGAATAGTGTGATAAACACACAGGGAGTGGGAGAGATTCCAGGAGGACTTCCTTGAGAAGTTAATACATAAGCTCATACCTGGATGATCAGTAGGAATTAGCCTGGAGAGGAGGAGAAAAAGAATATTCTAGATAGAGGGAATAGCATATGCACAGGCTCAGAGGCAAGAGACAGTGTAGTCCATGACTGTACTTGTGACTGCAGGGAAGACAGTACTGGCTACAGCAAAGGATGTGACAGAAGGTGTGTCCCAAGGTGATGTACACAAAAGGCTTCCTGTGCCTTGTTAGAAGCAGTGGGTTCCAGAAGGGCAGGACTCTAATTATCTTAGCAGCCCTCTGTGCTTCAAGTGCAGCCCAAACCTGGCAAGCAGGGACAGTCATGTGGTGACTGAACAGATGCTTTCCTCTCCACTCGATGTGAGACCTGGAGGTCCCAGAGGACCACTCCAGTTGAATGAGGGAGTCCCAGGATTAAGAATCTCTGCAGAGGGGCGCCTGGGTGGCTCAGTCAGTTAAGCATCTGGCTTCAGCTCAGGGTGATCTGGCAGTTTGTGGGTTCGAGCCCTGCATCGGGCTCTGTGCTGACAGCTCAGGGCCTGGAGGCTGCTTCGGATTCTGTCTCCCCCTCTCTCTCTGCCCCTCCCCCACTTGTTCTCTCTCTCTCCCTCTCTCTCTCTCTCTCTCTCTCTCAAAAATAAACATTAAGAATTTTTTTTAAAAAAAGGAATCTCTGCAGAGATGTTCAGCACATCTTCTCTGCAAGTCATGACTGCCTTGACAAGGATCTGAAATCTTACTTCTGTCCACAGGTGACCTGGTGTCCCGAGCAATGCATCACCTGCAGCCCCTCAATGCCAAGCACCATGGCAACGGCACCCCCCTGCACCACAAGCAGGGGGCGCTCTACTGGGAGCCAGAGGCCCTGTACACCCTTTGCTATTTCATGCACTGCCCACAAATGGAATGGGAAAATCCCAACGTGGAGCCTTCCAAAGTCAACCTCCAGGTGGAAAGGTAAGATCTGCCTTGGCTCCGGATGGCCAAAGAGAGGAGCTCCTCTGGCCAACACCACCTTGCAGTGGGTGGGTGCTTTCTCCAGAGTGGCAGAGGGGTACAAGAGGGGAGCCATGCTGGTGGTCACAACTGCACAGTGCCCAGAAACTCGCTGGAGGGGTCCAGGTTGGAATCTTGTGCTCCAAGGGGTGTCTGAGACCCAGGTGGGGTCTTTGAAATGGGTTTGCATAGGGTTGATCCAGTTTGGGTTAAAAACGGCCTGGGTCAGAAAGGTGGATCTGCAGATTCTGAAGGCGTAAAGGACTCTGCTGTGCAGGGTGGCTCCCTTGTGAAGGCAGCTATGGGGGAGACCATTGGGTGGGAGGTGTCTTCATTTCCTCCTGGCTGCCCTAAAACTCCCTTGGGGAACCATAAACACCTGCTCAGCTGAAGTGGGTCCTGAGGTGGCCAGGAGACTGTCTGGCTCAAGCAGAATTAAGGGAAAGGGAAGAAGGGGGGGCGCCTGGGTGGCGCAGACGGTTAAGCGTCCGACTTCAGCCAGGTCACGATCTCGCGGTCCGTGAGTTCGAGCCCCGCGTCGGGCTCTGGGCGGATGGCTCAGAGCCTGGAGCCTGTTTCCAGTTCTGTGTCTCCCTCTCTCTCTGCCCCTCCCCCGTTCATGCTCTGTCTCTCTCTGTCCCAAAAATAAATAAATGTTGAAAAAAAAAATTTTTTTTAAAAACAGGGAAGAAGGGAGGGTTTCCAGGGAGGGGACACTTCCTCAGACACAGCTTCTGTCCCTCCCAAGCACATTCCCTCCACTTCTCTGTGCCTCAACTTCCCTTTCTGTAAGCCAGTGGCTGAACTAAGTTGTTCCCAGGTCCCCTTCTGTCTGGAAAGCCCCAGGACGGTTTCACCCTCTCAGAGGCAGAGTATCAGAAACCACACTGGGAACACCCCACAGAGCCCATCTCCCCACAGCGCCTCACAAGTCGGGCCCTGCTTCCACATGAGCCTGTTTGCTGCAACTACTCTAGTAGTGACCCATTTATCAAAAGAGTGGTTAAGAGAGTGGGTTCAAATCCTGGCTCTTCCAATTAAAAGTCAGAGGAGGGGGAGGGCCTTGGGAAAGCACCCTAACCTATCCATGCCTCAGTTTCTTCATCTGAAAAATGCGGCTACCAAAAGTAAATCCTTCATAAGGCTGTTGGAGGAGTGAGTGAATTGAACAGTGCCCAGCACACGGTAAATGCTCAGTAAAGGTTCACTTTTGCTTCTGTTGTAGATACTATCTGCATTTTGGTGGACTCAATGCAATTTTCTTTTCTCTGTTAAATGGTTCCAAGCAATTTTGAAATGCTCATTGGCTGCTTTGCTGCTGCAGGAATGGACTGGGGCTTCCTTGGGCTTCCTTTTACAACCACGTCTCTTGGCTTTCATTTCAGGGAAGAGAATGGAGCACGAGTTAGACAAAAGTTGCTGAGTTTTTGTTCCTGTTTTGTTTTTAAGAATCTCAAGTTAGCATGAATATTTCAATCCAGTCTGGAGTTAGCTTCATCAGGCATCCCACGGTCTAGGCCAAATCAGTGGGTACCCTACGTGTATTTCCACATGCCGAAGATGCCCGAATTCAGGGGGCCAAATGCTCCTTGTCCCTGGGCAGAAAATAACTTCAGTCAGAGACAGCAGGAGCGCTTTCTGTGAATGTGCAACCTTAGTGCTGAGAGAATGGGAGCCAGCAGCCTCGGCCTGTGGGGCATCTAGCTCTTAGGCATACCGCCCTGACAGCCTGTGGGACAGTGAGCATCTCTGACTTACCTCCTGCCAACATGCACTTGAGCCCCAGATGACTCCCTTCCAACTCCAGCTAGACAGCACCTCCTCTGAGCTCCAGAACCTCCTCGTCCTAGTCAGCCTCAGTTTCCCCATCAAGTCTCACACTCTCAGACTGGTTCTTCTCATCACACCTTATTTCTTTTCCACATAACACTTACTACAGTTGATAATCATAATTTCGTTACGTGTTCGTTTGTTGCCCGTCAGCTTCATGAGGGCAGAGAACACATCTGTTCTGGTTGTCCCTCCACACCTAACGCCAAGCTCAACATCTGGTGCTAGGTGGGGAGTCAGTAAATTTTTGTAGAGAGAACGAACGAACCCATCGACCTAGCTGCCCGTGGAACATGTCCCTTTGTGCGTGCTCACAACTACCCCACATCTGAAGTTATCATCTTTTCTCCGAAACCAGCTGTCCTTCCTTTCTCCCTCATCTCTAAGGGTGGCATCACCACCAACCCAGCAAAGTGGGCCTCGCCCCACACTCTTTCCTCCCCCTCACCCCGTCCTGCAGCCACTGGTCAACATGTGTTACTGATGCCGCACCTGCAACACCTCCCATTGCTCTCTCCCTTCCTTCCCAGATTGCTGCCACTGTGTGGTTGGGTACCTTGTTCCCTCTTACTTCTGTACTGCATTGGATTTCTAAATGGTCTCCCAGGATGTAAGGCTTAATATCCTCTGACCAGCTCCATCGTCCTCATAGCCATCAGACTGAAACTTCTAGAACAGGAATCTCATCATGTGATGTACTCCCTGCCCCTACACAACACCCGTGTATGGCCCCATTACATCTTCCCTTACACGGCTTCCACCTTCTCTTCTGGAATCCCTTTCAGAATTCAGAGTGTAGCTGGAGTGGCTATAAGTCTGGGAGACCATCTGAGGTTTCCAGACTTTCTGGGACAAGATGTGAAGATGCATGAGCTTTGAAGGAAAACAGAGTAAAGAGAACATGGCCCAAAATGCTATGGAGTCACTTCTGTCTCCGTCTTTCCCTTCTTCTTTGGTTGGTTTTTCAGAGGTCATCACAAAATGCCGAGTGGAACTTGACATTTTTTGAGTTGTGTTACTTTGGTCCTCTGGAAAGAATATGGATTTGGAAACTAGGCTGACCTTTGGCTTTGGGATGCTTTGGCTTTGCATTCCAGCCCTGCTTCTTCTGGATCTGAGACCTTTTTTTTTAAACAAAAAAAATATGAAATTTATTGTCAAATTGGTTTCCATACAACACCCAGTGCTCATCCCGACAGGTGCCCTCCTCAATGCCCATCACCCACTTTCCCCTCCTGCCCACCAAGAGCAACCTACCCCCCACCCCCAGTTTATTCTCAGTATTTAAGAGTCTCTTACGGTTTGCCTCCTTCTGTCTCTGTAACTTTTTTCCCCCTTCTTCTCCCCCATGGTCTTATGTTGAGTTTCTCAGGATCCACATAATGAGTGAAAACATATGGTATCTGTCTTTCTCTGCCTGACTTATTTCACATAGCATAACACTCTCCAGTTCCATCCATGCTGCTGCAAATGGCCAGATTTCATTCTTTCTCATTGCCAAGTAGTATTCCATTGTATAAATAAACCACATCTTCTTTATCCATTAATCAGTTGATGGACATTTAGGCTTTTTCCATAATTTGGCTATTGTTGAAAGTGCTGCTATAAACATTGGAGTACAAGTGCCCCCTATATCCCTTGGGTAAATTCCTAGCAGTGCTATTGCTGGGTCACAGGGTAGATCTATTTTTAATTTTTTGAGGAACCTCCACACTGTTTTCCAGAGCGGCTGCACCAGTTTGCATTCCCACCAGCAGTGCAAGAGGGTTCCTGTTTCTCCACATCCTCTCCAGCATCTATAGTCTCCCCATTTGTTCATTTTAGCCACTCTGAGTGACGTGAGGTGATATCTCAGTGTGGTTTTGATTTGTGTTTCCCTGATGAGGAGTGACGTTGAGCATCTTTTCATGTGCCTGTTGGCCATCTGGATGTCTTCTTTAGAGAAGTGTCTATTCATGTCTTCTGCCCATTTCTTCACTGGATTATCTGAGACCTTGAACAAGCCATTCTTCCTCATTGAACCTCATTGACTGTAAAATGAGAGTGACAGAAGTTTCATGGGACTGGTGTAAGCAGTGAATTCAAAATTGTAGCTAAGACTCTGGTGCCATGCCTGGCACAAAAGGAGCTCTCCTCTCACCCCCCAAAAGAGTAGCTGATACCATACATCTTTTTATTAGGGGGAGCCTCCAAAATGCTGTTACCATTGTCCCTGCAGAAACCTGTGTGTGTATTTCTTCTAGACAGAAAGCTATTTCTCCTGCTCCCTGATGGAATAGGCCTTGGCATTTAGCATCTGAAATCACACATGGAAGGGCTTCAGAGGAGAGATGACTTCTGTTCTCAGTGAAGGGTTTACACCAGCTCCATACCAAAACTTCTAAATAAGAAGTTTCCAGTGGGATATGGACTCCAATTTGGAGTTGTTTTTCTCTCTGTATTTCTCTCTCCTCACTCCCAAAATCAAACAACATTTCCTTAACTCTTTATTTTTATTCTGGCAATGTCAAGTAGGGCCATGGTGCTTATATGGTTTTTCACTAGACTATATTCTTCAGAAAAGGGACTGAATATTATTTGCTTTCGTCCATGCCCAGCAGAAAGCCAGAAACATTTGTTGACTGAAATATGGATTGTTTTATACCTCAAATCATCTCTGCTTGTCAAAAGAGCCTTCCTTGGCTGGAGTATTTGGAAGTAGGCCTACATGCACTATTTTACTCTTTCATGTGGGCACAGCTTTAGAGTTGCTACATTTGTTTTGGATAGTTTCATTTTTCACTGCGGGATTTTTGAAGGAGCTCAGTGCCAGTGTGAAATTTCTATAGTTTAAGTTTTTCCAGAACTTTGGCGACTAGTTTTTGAGCTTCTAAAATCTTTCCGAGCAGCTCTTTGGGTCACTGGAAGCATGTACCAGGAACAGGTCCTGTAAAGAGCTGGAGGTCCAGAGTGAGACAGACAGGCATGACCCAGACCACATGGAGTAGAGTCTAAGACTAAAAGGTCAGACTTAGAATTTTATTCAAGTCAAGTGTTGGCAAATTCAACATGGAGAAGGAAGAGGAGGAAAACATTCTGTATCAAGGAGAATCCAATCTTTGATATCACTGAATCTGATATGTGCCAAAGCC